GAATTGACCATTGATCATGATGAAATGGCACACGGACACATAAGCACTAACTGGATGTAACTACCAAAATTGATTTCAAAATTCCAAGAAGTACGGAAGCTATAAGAAAAAACAGGAATTGCGGGGGAGTGGGGGGGGGGGGGTGTATCAAAATAAAAAAACAAACTTGACCTGCCTAGGGCTTAGGGGAACCTGGATGGCAAGTTTGGTAAATCTAGCTTTTGTACCTTCTGAGATCCTTGCACTCATACAGACGGACGGACAGACGGACGGACGGACATGGCTATATCGACTCGGCTTGTCACCCTGATCAAGAATATATATACTTTGTGGGGTCTGCCACGCCTCCTTCTGTGTGTTACATACATTCGCACAAAACTAGTATAGCCTTTCACCTTTTGGGTACAGGCTGTAATTAGAAACGCGCAGAAAAAAGTCAAAGTGAGGTAGTTGCCATGTACTCGGCGCTAACGTCTCCTAACGTTAACGCCAGCAGCGACGGCGACTGAGACTGCGACGCTTATCAATGTCAAAGCAACAAAGGAGGCAACGGAGGAGATGGCAGCGACGCAAATACAGAGGAAAATCTCGTTTACAATGTAGTCGCAGTCGCATGAATTAAAAATGTGAGTGCATGCCATGCGGTTTGGGGGTAGAGGCAGAGGAAGGGGCAGATGCAGAGGCAGAGGCAGCAGCAATAGCAGTAAAACAAAAAACAACAACGAAAACATGGCTGCTAATCAAATGAGCTACGCGAGAGTTCCAACGGTGGCGGGTGTAACTTGAGTGCAGTAGTTTTTCACGCTCATTAGTGTAGGGGCTGCTGTTGTTGTTGTTATGGTTAGTGATGGGGCTGCGGTCGGGGGGGGGTTCTGGTTTTTGCACGAAGTATGACCGTTCGTTCTCTTGCTTGTTCGTTCGCTTCGCTCGATCGTGGCGCGTCGATAAATGACTGGCACTGCGACGATGGCGGCACAAAATCATTGACCTCAATTTTTTCGTCATGCGAATACCCACACATAAACACACACACGCACACAGAAGCACGCACACGCACACGCACACGATCATGTGCATTACTGAGCTTTTCAATGCGTCTGTGAGTGCGCGAGTGCAAGTCAAAACGAAAAAAGCTCGTAATTGGACAACAACAAAGCAGGGGCCGTTATCGGACTGCTGTTTATCGTTTACAAACAACGGAGTTTCATTTGTATACCCTTTACTTCCCAAGCAAAATGGTATATTGCTTTTAAATGCACTGGTAGACTATGAGTACATATAGGATATGAGCAGCATGTATTTGTCCAAAGTTTTAAAGAGGAGTATTTGTTTTTATGGACACAAATTGAACATTTTTAGACCGATCAAGTACGATCATGATATCAGATAGCTATAAACATGATTTAAAGAGGATTTTGAATTAAGAACTGATTTATTTATACAAATACTGAAAACCACACTGTCAAGCACAAAGTAGGCTTCAATGAAAGATCAGTTCAATGGAGAAATACTTGTAAAGTTCTTGTTGCCAATCACAAGGAAGAGTGTACAGCTTCGGCGCGGACGAAGATAACTTGTTGGCTTGTTGTTCAATACTCGTATGCTTTTGTTTGCTGTTTTTCATTGCATACAATGTAGGCATATGTTCATATGAATGTACATATTAGTGTGTACCTATATGTATTATTGTCCGTATTGTTGTCCACGTTCCGAAGATGTCCTTGAGCTTAGGACCGGCCGTTGTAAAATTATGTCATAGAAATGGGAAAAGCAACTGCGAAACCAACCCTTTGCATTTGACAAAAGAAATGCAAATAAGCCGAGCAGAACAATTGTGCAAAGAGCACGCACACACGTTGTGTTGGCAACAACAACAACAAGAAGAACAAGAGGCACGTTGACGCTGGCAGTTGCAGCGAACAGCAGTCAGCAGTCAGCAGTCAGTAGCAGGGGTAAGGTCATGTACTTGAGCTTGCAACGCTTGCAATGACACGTAAAAGCAAGCTAAAGAGATGCATCGACTGTGTGCGTGTGTGTATGTGTGTGTGTGTGAAAAAGAGATGGAGAGAGAGGGAAAGAAAGAGAGTCACTCTACACATTGCACATTGACAATTTGTCCTTGCGGTTTTGTTTTTGTTGGTGTTTGTGCTCTGGCCCAGTTGCTGCTTCGGCATTTTTGGGCTTTGCACCAGTGACCCAAATTTTTGCACTCTGTCGGGTCTTGCGCTCAATGTGTCGAGGAACTCATCACATCATTGCAGAAATCAATAATGCACTTTAAAGGAGGATGAGGTAAATTGTTAAGCATACTTGTATTTTTTAAAGCTTTACTAGATCAGCAAGAAGAGCATTGAGGCTCGCTCATCAACAGACTGCTATCCTCAAATAAATTATTTATTGAAATTTAGTTATTTAATATTAGTGTAAATCACAAAATAATTTTCAATTATTGAAAAATAGTTATTAAATATTAGTCTAAATTATAAATAGTTTTCAATAAAAAACTAAAAATTCTAAATCTTTTTGGTCTAATTCGATTGAAAACGTTACCCACACTTCATAAAATGTATTCCTGGACCGTTTGATTTGATCTCAAAGCCATGGACCAACAACACAATCTGATTTGCATACATATTGCAATATGCAAATCGGTTACAATTTCTTTAAAGAATTGGAAAAGTTATACATTTTAGTGACAGGTAGTAAATTGATAGAATTTATGCAATTAGCTAAAAGACGTCTAAAATCGTAGAAAATTATTTGCATTTATACGCTTCCAAAAGTAATTGCTGCGAAAAAACGTTTAACTGATTACTAATGTAGCTAAAATTGAACAATTTAGCTAAGACTTGATGACTGTACGAAAACTTTTTGGCATGAATTTCGCGTTTTTTTGTTTTTTAAATCACAGTTCTTAGTTTCAATACGATATGTAAACGCAAAAGGGCTTCTGTATTCATTAATATAGATCCAATCATATTCTGAACATTTTGGAATTATTTTTGTTCGAAAAACAACTAATTTGATCGAATTTTCGTTAAAAATTAAACTTTTAAAATAAACTTTTTTTGACTCCTGTATGTCGTAGGTATTCATTGGAAATACCGAACCCCTTTCACAAATACGTATGTATACAAATACATTTGCACTTACAATGCTCGTCTAAACAATTTTATTATTTTAAAATATATATACATACATATGTATATATAAAAGGAGCCTTAATGATTGTCTTTTTTCAACGTTCCTGTATCACCTATTATTTTTTTCGGGTGAGTCGCTGTGATTATTTTCCCGTTTCCAGCAGAGCGCGCCTAAGCTTGAGGTGACTATCGACATTGTCATTGCCTTGGACCAGAACACTTTTTACAGTCTGACTGCTGACCCGGTCTGAAACCGTGTCATATCTATGAGGTGAGAGGACACATTGATTTCGGGGCGCCCGCCCTTGTGTCCCTGACCTAAGGCACCAATTTAGGTCATAGGTATGTACTATATGTACGTACTATACGTGTGCATGCAAATCGGCCAATGGGACATGGCCTGACACACTTTTCCGCAGGCTGCGGCCAGCCTGTGTGTATTAAGGGCGAGGTCGTGGGGTCGCGCGCTCTGCCGAAGGCCACAATAATAATAATAATAACAACAACAACAACAGCAACAAGCTGCATGTGACGTCAGTGCAAAAAGTGCAATCAAATTAAATTTAAGTGCTTGCCGTCTCATGTCCCAAAAATGTCTCCCTTTGTGAGTTTGTGCCTGTGTGTGTTTGTGTAAGCATTTAAGGCACATGTGCAGCGAGCCAGGCAGCCAGGCAGCCGGGCAGGCTCTAAATATAGAACAGCTTGAGGTAGGTTCAAGTTACAGGCGCAGTCGCAGTCGCAGTCGCAGAGCCGCCCTTATTGCCCGACTGCACACTGCCTGCATGCATTTATTCGTGTATATACACACATCCATACATATACAAATGTATACAAGTATGTGCATATAAGTATCTATGTGTGTGTGAGTTTGTTTGTCCAATGCAGTGTTCCATGACGGCTGCTGATAAAAGCAGAGACGCACACAAATGCATCCATCAGTGTGCTGCCTGTAACTGCATTTTACGAGCCGAGCCACTTAAGCGCTCCGACAAGTTGGCCGGGCATCGTCGTGGGCTCGTTAATGTGCGAGCAGTAGGAAAAAGACTTATACACGTAACAAGAAATCCATAAAAACCGCTCATAAAGCTTTGAGTGATAAAAAATAATTAGTGCAACGCGGCAGTGGGCGTGGGCCCAACGATGAGTAAGTATCTGATGGGTTTCATCGGGGGTTTAGAGAGAATTCGGGAAGTAATTTTCTTTGCTGAATTCAAAGAATGCAAACAATGAATAATTATTATGATACAAACATAATATATAAGAAATAACTGTTTTTTTTGCCACTGGAATAAAAAGGCGACCTAAAAGGTTTTGAAGAATGTGCAATTTTTGCGTTGCAAACGAACGTTGCTTGCTATCGTCACTTTTCCATTATCAAAATAAATCAGGGAGGGAAGTTTACTTTTTTATAAATAAGTATATGGCTCGAGCTCTTGATGAGTAATTTATAATTTGTCTCTTCTATTGTAAATATTAATCAGATTTACAATAGAAAAATACATCGATTCAGATATAAGGAATCGAAAATGTTCTGCAATCGAATGCTTTCCGTATTTTCAAAATCCTTGCACTCAGACGGAGAAATAGCCGACTTGCCCCGCTCTGCTGGCTTAACTACTTAAGCGCCATTTTTCAATAAATACTTTTCATTTAATTCAAGAAATGGTTTTAATGATGAATAGTTTTCATTCATTCTGAGTTGATTTAGTGTTTTTATAAATTTTATTGTGAATGTTAATTAAACAACTAACAATAATTGCAATTGGGTGTGTGTGTGTGAAGGAGTTCCCCTCTATACACATTCTTAACCGAGCGTTTAACTAAGAATAGATAGAAGAGTTGTTGTGACCCACTAACCTGATGAAATGGAATTTGCTGAATCACTGCGTGGTGTATGCTGCATACCCATGCCGCCAATGCCATTCGACGAGCCATTTGTGTGAAGGTGTCCGGGCAGGACCATGCCCACGCCTCCGCCGCCACCCCCTCCACCCAATCCGTTCTGTTGCATCTGGAGTTGCGTTGTGGGCGTCGGCGTAGTGGAGTTGATCAGACTGTGTCCATTTTGTAAATGTGTCTGATGCATGTTGCCCCCACCGTTCTGGCCACTCGCTCCTCCCATGTTGCCACCATTGACTATGCCACTCATGTGACCGTTTGTCAGTGCACCCAGATTTGTGGCACCAGGCACATAGTGTCCAGCATTACCAATGAGGCCCGAAAGGCCGTTGCTGTTCCCATTGTTAATGGGTATGATGGTGGTCTGTGCCGGTAGAGTGCTGGAGCAGCCGTGCATCGCCAGTGTGATGACACTCTGCTGTTGGACTCCAGCGTTGCTGGCAGTGCCGTTGCTGCTGCCGTAGCCGCCGGCATCGTTGCAGGACATCCAGCCGTCCTGGTCGCCATACTCGTGAGAGTCTAGGGACGAGGGTGACATGTTGGCGCCCGAGGGCAGGACCAGCCCATTTGAGGAGGAGGTGACCTCTGAGGAGGATTCTTCGTGTAAGCGCAAGAATCCCCCATTGTTCGACCAGCGTCGTTTCATCATTTGGTAGCCGATGGTCGCCGTTGTGGTGTCTTTTTGTTAAACTCCGGTTATTAATTACTTTTGTTTCAGCTAGGACCTTCGGTCCTTGGCAGTTTGAGGTTGTCGCTCCCTTCTGGTGTTGATGTTGTTGTGCGTTGTGGCCAAAACCAAATTGGTGTTGGTCCACTTGATGTCCCCTTTCCGGAATTGGAATTGAAGTTGGTTTTTTGCTGGGCTGGTATTTTTCTAGTATTTTTTACGCACTTGCTTGCGTTCAAAATACATTTTTAAAGCGTTTTTGTAAAGCGCTCGTATTATATTTCTCGTCTTTTTTTGTTTTGTTACGTACAAGTAAGTTTCGTTTCTTTCCTAACAATTAAAAGCTGTAATGAAGAATTTAGAAATATATCCCAATGAGTAGGCATGTGGTGTGGTTTTAGATTTTATGGCAGCCCGTTTTGTGTTTCGCTAAAACATTTTGTGGTTATTTTGCGTGCCTCACATGCTAAAAAGTTCAATGCCTCGATAGCTCATGAAATTTTCATTTCATTTTGCAACTCGCGTTAATTGCAAATTCGCTCTTTACCTTGAACGCTGTTTTATGTACATACATACACATATGTATTTATGTACGTGTATGTATGTATATATTAAATAAAAGAAAGGGCTAAAGTACATGTTTGAATGATTTCAGTTTACTTTTGCTAGATTGCGCAAGAGCTCACAATACGGGCAGAAAACGCGACTAAAACGCGTCTAAGCCGCGCGCGACTCCTCTACAACGTCATTCTAGGAACTAGACTAGTTTGTAGGGGCCATGAAACATCTCTAATAATTCAACTGCGGCGCTCTAATGAGCGACGATTTGTGCTTTTAGCAAAGATTGCAAATTTTTGATAGGTGAGCGCAAATTTATATGCAAAAGCTTATGAACCGGTAAGAAGATCCGATTTCTTTCACAATTCCCATTAATCAAGCCATGAAATTGCCAAAGTTGAGCTTAGTTATTAATATGTTTTGTCGCAATCCATGGACCGCAACATATTTTAAAGAATAGAGTAGGCCATTTGAAAGATTCGCACTAAAAGAAGCCATTTATAAAAATAAAAAATTGTGAACAGAACGAAATCCCATTTCTATTTAAATTAATCAGATTTAGTATCAAATGATTCTGTTAACTTGGCGACGAAATTAAGCGGAATACTCAGTTCTTGATAATGCCCTTGTCAAATAAGGTTGTACGCCAACTTTGCTTTTGATTGATTGATAGAAGACCCCACCTAAATATACATACGAGTACCAAGCTATTTCCTCTACATGTTCTAGGCCCATCTAATCAATTTTATTTCCTCATTTACAATAAACTACAAACCAAACACAAGATTCTCCTCCACAAATGTGCGACTGTGGGTTGTCCCTCAACTATTTGTACACTTGTCACACTTATCTAAATATTTTTATGACCATTTGTTTACCTATACGTCTATTCATGTTCATAAACCAAACAAACACAACGGCAACGGGGAAACATAAACAACAAAGTATACACAAAACTATGCCTGTGTACGATGTGTACGAGGCATTTGCTTGAAGGCATCGAAAATAATTGATAGCATTAGCAAAGAGAACCCCTAGCGACTATGGCAACTCTCAATAAGATTATAGGCAGGCCGGAGTCAAGTTGGCATTACAAGTGCTTCTGGAGAAGGTTCTAGCCTGACCCAGAGGAAGCTGGCTTCAATTATTATATCAATTAAGGAAAGGCCTTTATGCGACACTAATTGTCGGGCTTGGAGAAATCAATATCTTTTTATTGTGATATTTCACAGGCACTATTTAAACTGACAATTCTTTTGCTGTTTACCAGAACTATGCCTCCCCACAACTGTTCAGAATAATGGTCCTATAGTACATTAGCTAACCCACATTCCGGCTCTCACCAGCGCCAATCAGCCTCATAAATATTAACATAATTTCTAGTAATGTGCGATCATAATCACGCATAACTACAATCTTAATTACAGCCGTTTGAAATGCAGCTAATTAGGAGGCTTTAATTAGTGAAAGTCACTCTATAATTGATAGTTGGCATTAATATATAGTAGATAGACACCAATATGTACCTGTATAGTATGTGTGTAGCCTTCAGTATTGTGAGTTAGTCATGGTCTAGTGCGTCGCACTGGAAGTGCGATTAAATAAATGCAACAAGTAGGGATTGTTGATGCTGCAGTCGCGACTTTTGCATTGAGATGCATTCGATCTGAAACTGACTCATTTAGAGGCATTTAGCTGCTTCTTCGAGAGCCCCTACAGGTGATTCATCTGAGCCATTTGACAGTTGAACTTGCTGGCAAGTTGAGGCATTTGCACGGTTCAAGACGCTACACAAAGTCGCATACTTGTATAAAAATAAAAAATGGGAAAACCGGCGACAGTAAAAATAAAACAAAACAACAAAAGATAATAAGCAAAAGTTTTATCTTTTTCAAAAGAGTAACAGCAACAAATCTACATATATTAATACTCGTGTATTGTGACTCGTAAAGCGTCAAACTGGTTTCAATGCGCAGACGCAAAAGCCTTCGCGCTGCTATTGCCGTCTCGCTCCGACACGGCTTAGAACAAAATTGAAAAAGTCACGAGCGGCAGCAACAACAACAACAACAGCGACTAACTAGCCTAAGCTTTCAAATTATATATGTTGCTGGACGCTGGCTGACTTGATGGAGCTGGTCGGAGAGTGGAGCAGGGATAGGATGGGATGCGAGGGGTTCGGTTAGGGCTGCTCTGGCACATTGCTGAGATTTTGGCCCGCATTAAGAAAAACCTGTCGCTGTCACTGTCACTACGGCTGTCGCTGTGGCTGACGCAGCCGCAGTCGCAGTCGCTGCCTCTGCCTCTGCGAGCGTCATCGCTGAAGTCGGTGGATTTCTCGACTGAATTCGTTCAACAAAAAACAGGTTGTTCTTCGCTTTGTTGTCTTTTCGTTGTCTACAAAAATATTTCTGTTCAAAGCAGCAGAAGACGCGCATACACATACATATACATACATACATACATGCATGCATACATATATACATACTACAGATCGGACATATATATGTATACACATATAAACGACATTTAAGGCATTTTTATAGCTTTGCGTGTCTTGTTTTGTTTTTCTTGCTGTCGCTTGTGCTTTTTGCTCATTTTTACTTTTTACTTTTTTCCAGCTTGTTGCTCGGTTCAAATCAAGTTGAAGTACAAAAGGCAAAAGCCATAAAAGCAAGTGTAAAAAGGCAAGAAGCAGACACACCGTGCTGCCAACAATTTACGCAGCCGCAGACTGCTTATATATCTCTCTCTCTCTCTCTCTCCCGCTCTCGCGCTCGCTCTCTGTTTCCCTTTCATACTTGCTCTGCCACACACACACACATAGCTCAGGTAAATTGTTGTTTTTTTAATGGCAGGGAAAACAGCAGTACAACAAAAGTTCTTTGTAATTTGTCAGCGTTGTGAAATTTCAAGTCAAATAAGAGACACATGTAAGACGATTCATCACTCGTGGGTGGCTAGCAATCCATTTATTTTTAGAAAATACACTTTATCGATTTAATAAGTCCGGTCTTCAAGCAGCAGATATGAGAATCGACCAGAGAGATATGAAAACTTCAAGAAGGGAACGAACTACGCGGTCTTATAGTCACAGGGAAACCCAGAGAGAGCTACATATATCGATATTCTTGCAGTCCATATTTAAACCTCGCGACTCATAAAGAAGTTGTACTTCTTGCATTTCCCGGGACGCACGCAAGTAAACTTAACGAGATTCGCTAGAGATTCAGAAGGCAGCGTGCTGCAAAAGGGAGCATCACTTAACTATTGTTCTAAGCACTTATGGAAATGAGAACATTTAGCTTTTATAATGAGCAACATGAGGGGAGTAAGACTGTGCAACCTTTGGCTAAGCCGACAGAGCTGTACGAGACAAGTCAATGACTTCTCAATGACGTATACAAGTGTATCTATTTCCAAGCTCTGTTGTTCGTTTCAATAGCTAAGTAAAGCACAACATTCAAATGTAGTAAACTTTATTAACTGTACGACAATTTAAGCAACAACAACAACAACTAATGCTATATGGCCGGGCACATATCTCGAGGGTTGATGGGCCGGCCGGTGGGTTGGTGCCTCATTTTAACCGTACAGCTAAAAAGCTTCGGGAAAACAATTAAATATCCGGTGGCCTGTCCGGCCAGTTTCATAATAGGCTGGCAATATTCACACACACAATCAAGTGTATGTGTGTACTCTGGGTGCCTGGTTGTATAGTATGTATGTTCGTATGTAGAATGTTGTAGTACATGGCACATGGATCCTTTTAATTTCCTGCTGTTATTTTCATGCACGTAGCGCGAACGCCGCGTGATTTCCATTTGCTAGGAGAAACAACAACAGTCGTAGTCATGTGTGTGTGTTTGTATTTCTGCCTGTGTCTGTGTATGTGTATGTGTATGTGTGCGTGTGTCTGTCCAACATATGTGCCATATTCCCATAAAGTGCGGCATGTGACACATGGACAGTACTCTCTCTCTCTCTCTCAGCACTTCCCTTGCCTACAAATGCCTTCGACTAAAGTAATCTAATAATAATGAAGTTGGCCCACCCATGCCCATTGCAGGACAGCAGAAACTCACATGTTAACTTATGTTAGGTCCTACTCGATAACATGCATACATAGATATGTGTATATATTTACACTGATAGAAAAATGCCGGTCTGAAATTTAGGCCGAAAGTGCGTAGCTGCGTCTCGAATCCAGATTCGAAGCGATCTTTAAAATTCTCATTATATGTATTTTGATCAGAGCCGTAAAGAGTTAATATTTCCATAATAATAACAGATTGAAATTCCACCTAAATTCAATGAAAAGCATCTTAAAACTTTTTTAAAATGTTTTCTGTAATTGTAACCATAAAATTAAGTTAGGTTTGAGGATTAATTTTAACAGATTTTCAGAGCTCCAGTCCAAAATCAGTTGGAATGGTGAATTTTAAAGGCATTTACTGCAGTGTATCGAGGAGCTCTGACGTGGAAGAGGCCTTTTGCTTCTAATGACTATCATTGAGCTCAACTTCCTGCTACCAATATGTTGATGAGTCTGCGTCTCTCAGTTCTAAATGCCTTGATTGCAACGTTGGCCAATAACAAGAAAATAAGTTGACGCCAAACGAGGCAGCGTGGAAAAAAGCAATCTCGGTTGCGCAGAAAGTTCTTCGGAAAGCCACTCAAAACCAAAAGCAACAGTCGAGTTGAGTTGACCTCGTTTTGGACTTTTGTTTTTGTTTGCACTTTATTTTCCATTTTATTTATTTATATTATTATTCATTTCAGCTTC